ATTCACCATTGCAACAAAAAGAATAAAATACTTAGGAGTATATCTACCTAAAGAAACAAAAGACCTATACATAGAAAACTATAAAACACTGATGAAAGAAATCAAAGAGGACACAAACAGATGGAGAAACATACCGTGTTCATGGATTGGAAGAATCAATATGTTAGTTTCTCATAAGTTTTAAGGTTTGTGACTATTGAAACATTGGAATTTTTGGCTATTCATTAACCCTCAAATAAGTTTTTACTTTCTTAATTTTTAGAGTGATTTACACATTAAGTTTCTTGAAGGCATAAGAATTGTTGGAGGATAGAGGCAGAATCATCTATTTTATAAAAGCATTGTGAAAATTAAGTTTCACTATGTTCTCTCATTAAAGTTCTGCTGCTGGTGTACTTTTTGAATACTCATTTACTTTTCTGTTGTGTCTAACAGAGATATAGCTTTACTTAAAACATCAGGGCAATTTTAGTAAATAGATTTTAAGCACCTTGTTTATCTCTGTTGATTTGGGACTTCCTTAAGTTTTCAGTTTCTTTACACTGTTTTTGAAATTTTAAGGAAATAATACTCTAATTCTGCATCATTTCTGATTTTGATAAAAGCTAGCAAGTTCAAAAGTACATTCTTTTAATGTATATGTAAGGAGAATGATCATGAAATAAGATTAAAGATACTAATGAGTGTGATTTTGTTCTCTGTATGAATGTTATTGGGAAATATATGGTTTTTACCTTTGACTCTTTTTCTTACTTTTTTCACTTTTCTATCAGTCCTCATTTGGTTGTTCTTTCCTATAATTCAGAAATTCAAATGATGCTAATAGTACATGAGAAGCATTACAAGAGAAAACCAAAAGGATGCTGCAAATAAAATCCAATATTCAAGAGTGGAAAGATAGACTTTATTGAAATGGAAATAAAGGACAACTGAAAATGATACTTGCTACATAAATATCAAGGGATTAAAATCACTGACATGCCATTAAGACACGTTATCGTGTGGGCTTCGTGGTAGCTCAGTCGGTAAAGAATCTGCCTGTAGTGCAGGGAACCCAAGTTCGACCACTGGTTCAGGAAGATCCCCTGGAGAAGGAAATGGCAACCCACTGCAACATTCTTGCCTGGGAAAACCCATGGACAGAGGAGCCTGGTGGGCTGCAGTCCATGGGGTCGCAAAGAGTTGGGCATGACTGAGCAACTAACACTTTGGAAGAATCATTTAAAATTTCTAAGAAAATGAATAGCACCATTAGCAAAATGAAAGAAGGAGATGAACAGGCAATTGACCACCAAAAACAAACAGGCCAAAACACAAAAGAGCCAAAACTGTGTAGTGGAAATATTTGTACTGCCATCTATTCCTGTCACCTATTTGATAAGGTGATCTGTATGCAACCAGATTCCAGCATGAATTTGAGCCTCTGGAAATGTAACTTGGCTCTATCTACTGGTGAAAGTCAAAAAATTGAGTAGAAACCTGGGACTATTGATATAACGTTTTGACTTCTAAATTGACATTAACTCCTGTATTCTGGAACTCAATGTTTATTTAGCATGGTTCCATGTATGCAACTCCTAGGAATCCTTCTGCTGAAAGACAGCATTGCCCAAGACGGTCTTGATAACTCTCAAAATACATACTTGTCAGTCTTGACATTGCTGTGAGAATGGTTAAATCTACTAGCAGTTCAAGAAATGAAAATTAATAGCAGAATTACTGAGAGGATTATATAAACTATTACATGTAAATCACTAAGTGCTTGCTACATTGTAAACATTGCTTAATGTTAGTTATTACTATTATTGTTAATACTGTTAATAAAAATATATCATTTTCATTTTCACTTGTTATATGGACAAGGACTAAATTATATTTTTAACAGCGTTTCACCAGACCTAGTATGCATTCTTAATACATATTTGTAGAATTATTCTTATGATAGTGGTGTGATAGCTATTCTTATGATAGCTGGTGTGGTTTCACTCGCTACAAGGAGCAGATGCACTGTATGCAACTACAGAGGGGTTCGTGGTGGGGTTTGACTAGGGGTAATGTCAGTGGTGTGGAGCTTTCCTGAGGGGAAAATGAGAGTTCCTCTGTGAGGGATGATGATGGAATTTGCTTGTTTCTTTCGTCCCAGTATGTGAACTCAGGTGAATTTAATTACAGATTATTACCTCATTTTAACCTAGCCAGCCATCGCCAAATAATCATACGTCTTGCCAAAAGAGCTGAGAAAATACTGCAGGTCAGTTACAGTTGTAAAGATACAAGGGCAAGCACACGCCGTTGATTGCTGGACTCATCTTCCTAGCATAAATATCTCCTTAGCAGTCATTTTTGTTTATTTATTTGACCACATTGGTATCAGTTGCAACACGTGGGCTCAATAGTCATGGCGCATAGGCCCATATGCCCCTCAGCCTGTGGGATCCTAGCTCCCTGGCCAGGGATGGAACCCGCACCCCCTGCCTTGCAAGGTGGATTCTTAACCACTGGACCACCAGGGAAGTCCTCTCTTTAGCAGTTTTTTCAAATTCACTTTTACATCATCCTTTTAGGTTCAATTTTTGTATATTTTAAAAGACTGGATTGAGTTAAAACATATAATACTCTATTGTAAAAACACACATGATACATATAATTACATGATATATTCATACTTCTAACTCAAGCTTAGGTACATCAGCTCCTGAGTTGTAAGGGAATGTCCTGGGTTTATTGTGTTTTCCTATGTCCTAGGAACCCCCTCAGTCCCAAGGAGAACCAGGAATATTAGTTACTCTACAATATTTTATTTTAATAATAGGGATACATAATCAAAAACTACAGAGACTACAGTTTAAACCATCTTTTCACCATCCTTCAAGGAGTAAGAATGGGATACAATTGGCCCAGTTAAAACTGATGAGTCTGATCACTTCTGGAAACTTCAAGCATAGCCTAGTAGGACAAAAAGATCCCCAGAATAATGCACTGTTCAAACCCTGAGTTAACTGCCTTCAGTAATTTGAAAAGACTGAGTACAGAGCTGTTTGTCCAGTAATTCCAAACTGTGAAATTGGAGGGTCACTTATGGTCACTATTAAAAGCAACATCTTCTCAGAGTAAAAGAATTAAAATGATGCCAGGCCTTTTAAGATATCCTGTCAAGAGCCTATGGTTATGATCACAAGGAAAAGATATCTTGTTGGTCCAGAATTTTCTCTTCTTGCTAATGAGGGGAAGCCCCACTGGTAAGGCAGAGGCACTCCACCTGCCCAGCCTTTGCTCACAGCTTTAGCATAGATAGAAAGCTCTATATGTAGAAATCCCATTATCTGAGAACTGCCATTACTTACAAGCTCCTGTAGCAGTGCTAATGCAATACTCCCTGACAAATATTTTTTTCAAAATCAGAGGGTATAATTCTGTAAAATTTCATTTTTAAGTGTGGCCTGTAGAATTTCAATTCATCTACCTAAGGAAACATATGCTCCTGGATGATTAAGGAATCTAAAAAAGTAATAGAATAATTATATCAAAAATCAAAAGATATTTTAATTATCAGAAAAAGTTTAATTAAAAATCCACAAACACAACAATAAAACTGAAAAGTATACTATGTATATATATCAATTTACAGTTAGCCTATTTCAAACTGCAAGGGTAATTAATTATGTACTCAAATTTTAACAATGCAATAGTTAAGCAAATAGCAATAATTTACTTTACTAACATGGTAATGATTCTCCATACCATGTTGATACTGAACAGCAGTGTGATGGTTAATGCGTGTCAGTGTGGCTAGACTATGGTGGTTGGTATTTGATCAAACACTAGTCCAAATATTGTTGCAAAGGTATTTTTTAGATGTGATTAACATTTACAGTCAGTTGACTTTAAGTAAAGCAGATTACCCTCCACAATGTGGGTGGGCTACAACCAGTTGAAGGCAGACAGATTTCCCAAAGAAGGAATTCTGCCATTAGACTGCAATCAGGTTAAAAATACATTTAAAATACATTTATATTTCAAATCATGTAAAAATACATTTACAGCATAAAAATAGTATGATTTTTAATATTTATAGCTGAGGGAAGTTGGTGGTTGCTTTAGTTGAGAAGAAAAAGATCTAGATCATTTATTTAGTACATAGAAGTCAACAATTCAACATAAGTGACTTAAAAAATGGAATTAATTGAATAATCTGGTTTCTTTTTTTTTGGTCTTCAGACAAAAAAATGCCAGAATGCACGAGTTTTTTGGTTTGTAGAGATGTTGTTAATTATACTACAGATAATTTTGTACAGGACTTTAAAAGGTATACCTGCATCCTGTTATGTATACAGGGTACATTTAAAAATAAAATCTCCTAAAAGAGATTAAAATTTCCTAATTCTTCCTTTTTGAGTTTAACTGTTCTCATCATTTTCCCCAACTATTGACTATGACCATAATATAACATTACAGGCTATTTGAAACTTTCCTTAATAACATTTTTGTTTCTGAATAACGAGGGAACTCTTAAGAGAACTACTGGCATTTAAGGAAAATACCTACTATCTGAAATGTTTAATTCTTTAAGTGTACTCTAACTAAAAGACCATCTAGAATATTAGAGAACAAGACTCTTGATACATGTAAAATAATTTTTAAGTTACTTATGTTTTGCTTTGTTTTATTGCTACCCTTCTATATTATAGTACATCTTTTGAATTAAAAACACATTAAATTTAGATAACAGATAAAGCATTTAGAAGCCTTAGTAATTAAACAGGTAAGAGTTACAGTTAACCATAATCTATTTCTTTATTGTCATGTCAGAGAATTTCCCTTGTACATAAAAGACATTTAAAATATTGTCAGAAGGACAGAAATTAGGTACAATGGATTACATGCTATCAGCTGACGTGTCCCTGATGGGTTCCAACTTGGATATCCTGTTGGATATAAAAACAATATTTAAGAGCTCAGTTTAGTTTCAAGGAGAGGAAGTAATTGAATAAATACTGAAAGATTTTGATACGTACTATGATGTTTATCACGTTCTTTATTACCTAAAATAGAAAAAAAAAATTACACGTTAAACTCATTCATTTGCTTTTCTGGCTTTTTGAATAAGATAGTCAACTTAGAAAGTTTAGCTTGGTTTTTTTCATTTAAGAAAACTGAAGCCTCCTCTGCAAATCCCATAGTACTTAAAAATCTGTATGATGCTCCCTGCCAACAATGTCATGTCAACAAATATTTCAAGAACATCTCACATATTGAAGGCAAAAGGCCTGAAACAGACAAAAGTATATACAGTAGTTAACTTTATTTTTGACACTGCCATATCCATTTAAAGTCCCAGAAAAATACTATATTTCCTTCATATTGAGGATTTGGGTATGAGGATTCTGCAATTTATTATGTTTGTTTATTTCATTTATTTTTATTCATTTATTCATGTTTGTGTGTCTACTATGTATTAAGCATGACTCTAGGCTTTGGATATAATGGTTATTAGGAAAAAGTAAAGTTCTTTTCCTTATAGAAGTATCAGGGGAGAAAATCTATCATCAACTTTAAAATTGAATAAATGAATATAGGAGATTAAAATATACCATCAGAGAAAATGATTAGTATGATAAAAAGGGTCAAGAGATAGAAAATAATGAGGAACTTAGTTATGGTCATAGCTAAAATTTATTGAGAGCCTACTTGATTTTGGGAAGATCCCCTGGAGGAGGGCATGGCAACCTACTCCAGTGTTCTTGCCTGGAGAATCCCATGGACAGAGCAGCCTGACTGGCCACAGTCCAGAGGGTCACAAAGAGTTGGACACGACTGAAGCAATTTAGCATGCATGCACTTTATTTTGGTCCCAAATCACTCTGTATGGTTTATCATATTTAATCCTCTTAGTCACCTCCTGGGTTAAGCCATCTGATTCCAAGGTCTATACATTTAACCATTATGCTGTATGTTTGCCCCTCAAAAAGGAAGTAAAAAAAGATAGAAATTGACTTTCTATAGAAATTGATCAATAGAAGTCAAAAGTCATAGGACTTAATAAGTGGAACACAACAGAATTAGCAAAGTTAAAAATAGAATGTTATTAAAATGGATAAAACAAAAATGTGTGAAACCCCTCAAAACCTGAGTATCATAACATTTAAAGAAGTTAAGTTAGTAAACATCTGTAAACACACACACACCACAACAAAATAGTTTTATAGAAAATTTATCCCAAACATTCAAAAATAAATAATGAGAATCTTACACAAACTGTAACCAAAATATTAACAGAAGTATTGTTCCCAACTTTCAACTTCTTTTATGAGGCTACTACAAACTTGAAGTCAAAATCATATGAGGAGATATGGNTACTAAAGGAAATCAGTCCTGAATATTCATTGGAAGGACTGATCTTGACGCTGAAACTCTGATAGTTTGGACACCTGCTGTGAAAAGCTGACTCATTTGAAAAGTCCCTGATGCCGGGAAAGATTGTAGGTGAGGGGAGAAGGGGACGACAGAGGATGAGATGGTTGGATGGCATCACTCACTCAATGGACATGAGTTTGAGTAAACTCCAGGAGTTGGTGATGGACAGGGAGGCCTGGCTTGCTGCAGTCCATGGGGTCCCAGAGAGTCGGACGTGACTGAGTGACTGAATTGAACTAAACTTAAAAATTCTATTTGTAACATCAACACATATAGATCACCAGGCAATCTAATTTGAGATGTAAGACCTTACTGAGAAAATTTCAAAGTGTAAAAGATATATAAATGAAAAGTGAAAGTTTCTCAGTGGTGTCTGACTTTTTGTGACCCCATGGACTGTAGACCATCAGGCTCCTCTGTCCATGGAATTCTCCAGGCAAGAAAACTGGAGTGGGTTTCCAGTCTCTTCTACGGGCCATCTTCCTGACCCAGGGATTGAAATCAGGTCTCCTGCATTGCAGGCAGAACTTTTTATGTGTGGGCCACTAGGGGAGCCTTAAAAAGATATATAAAAAGACCCAAATAAACAGTACTTATTAATCAAAAAGGTCAATACTCTAAAGTTATTTCTTCTTCAACTTATCTCTAAATTCAATGTAATTCCATTCAGAATTTCAAGGTCTTCTGTAGAATTGATAAGCTTATCCTAACATTAATTTTCAAAAGCAAAGGGCAAGGAATAGGCAAATGATTTCTGAATAATTTGGAAATGGAATGAGTTGGGGGAATACCTCCTACCAAGTATTAAAGCGTATTTATTGTAGCCTTGGTAGCTTTTAAGTTGCTATTTTGGAGACCCACAGAATATAGCTCTCTAAATCTCCAGGATGAAATCATTTGTGATAGACAAAATCTCTCATCAAGCATAAAATACAAATAAAATAATCTTTTGGTATTATTATTTTTTTATTATTAGAAAAACAATGCGTAAGAGCATGAGACATTTGCAACAGCAACAAAGACGGGAAAGTCCAGATTTCAGAACCGAAGATCCATAAAGAGGAGGGTTGATGTCACAAAGGATGCTTTTTCCTTGGGGCCATTTGTTGATTCTGGGCCCAGGCCTAGGGCTGAAAAAGTGGGCTTTGTCCAGGAAGAAGTCACTTCTTAGTAAACAGAGAAACCAGCAAAGAACTAGAGAGATAAAATCGGAGAATTGAGTAGTTCAAGATCCAGGTGGGAGGTAGAGGTGGAGGAAATAAGCCCAAGATGTGCCCATTTTGTAACTTTGAAACTCTGAGAGGTGAGGGACTAAAAACCTAGGCTAAAAGCCTTTGGAAATCATAGTAGATCTTTCAGTAATTTCTGTGTGTTAAAGCAATGAGAAAAACAGTGGGGAAAAAAAACAGTAAGAAAAGAATTGGAGTTCAAAACCCAGTAGGTAAAGACAACAGTGAACACACCCGTCTCCCACTGGGAAGCCTTGGACGTCTCTGTTCTTGGAGCAGAGCAAACAGACCTACCACGCCTTAGGTAAATTCTAAACCAGCTTTGACCAAGTTGTGTTTGGATTGAGATGAACCACCTTAACTCTATCTGTTCAGTAGAGGAAAAGATAGAACTCTATACATTTTTTGTTTCACACCATATTATTAGGCACATCAAGTGTTTCCACAATCTACTGCTGTGGAACAAACTTCCAAAACTTAATGGCTTAAAATGATTAACAACTTACTACTATTTCTCATGATTACCTGGGTTGGCAGATTCTACTAGGCAGTTTCTGTCCTATATTTAGTGTTATCAGGGTTCAAGGATGCGGCTGCATTTAGCTGTTGCTCCCATTTGGGGTTTAAACAGAAAGATACCCTCTCTTCATCCAGGGCCCGACCTCTTCATTGGGAAAGCATGGATTTTGAGATATGCTGGATAGCTTTCAAAAGAGCAAAAGCCAAAGCTGCCAGTTTTCTTAAAGATGTGGTCCAGAAATGGCACATCAGATCCTTATTCAAGGAGAGAAGAAATAGTCTGGGCTTCTTAATGGGAGGAGTGGTGTGCATGGAGGGGAGGGAGGAATCATTTATGGTCATATTTAAGGACATCAAGAAAGAGAGCATGTCACCAAAATGGAGAGAAAAAACAATCTTGAAACTGGAAAGAGACTCACAGGAGATCTGGATGCTGGAGTTTTTAAACAGGGAATTCGAGTGTGTAATACTGGAGCTGACTGTGCCAAAAGGGGACTAACCAAAGATATTGTCGAAGAGAAAGGCAAGAGCCAGATCACAGTTGGGTTTGTTGGCCTCAATGCATAGAATCTGATTTTCCTCTAGTCGCAAAAAGAAGCAATTGACGAATTTCAAGAAAAGTGATTTTATCTGATATTTTCTTTTGTTTTCTGTTTTCTTTTGGGGGGGAGAGTGAAGCAACTTGGAATAAAGTAGGAAGAGAAGTGGTGAGCCTGCACTAGTTCAGGCAGGAGATGGCAGCGATCTGGATCCTGGTAAGGAAGGGGAAGTGAAAGAAAAAGACTACCACTTTATCTTTGTATCTTGTAGACTAGAAAACTTAGTTGTTAACAAATATGAACCACTTTGAGTGAAATCTCATTTTAGAGAGACCATTCTTCCAATTTATTATTTTTTTTTCCTTTTTAAATTGGAGTATTGTTGCTTTCCTAGCATCAGAGTCTTTTCCAATGGGTCACCTCTTTGCATCAGGTGGCCAAAGTATTAGAGCTTCAGCTTCAGCATCACTTCTTCCAATGAATATTTAGGGTTTATTTGCTTTAGAAGTGAATGGTTTGCTCCTGCAGTCCAAGGGACTCTCAAGAATCTTCTCCAGCAACACAATTGGAAAGCATCAATTCTTCTGTGCTCAGCTTTCTTTATTGTCCAACTCTCACATCCATACATGACTACTGGAAAAAACCAAAGCTTTGACTAGAAGGATCTTCATCGGCAAAGTGATGTCTCTGCTTTTAATATGCTGTCTAGGTTTGTCATTGCTTTCCTTCCAAGGAGCAAGCATCTTTTAGTTTCATGGCTGCAGTCACTGTCCATAGCGATTTTGGAGGCAAAGCATCCACCTACCGATGCAGGAGAAGGAGGCAGTAGAGGATGATGGTTAGATAATATCACCAACTCAGAGGACATGAATCTGAGCAAACTCTGGGAATAGTGGGGGACAGAGGAGCCTGGCATGCTACAGTCCATGGGTTCGCAAAGAGTTGGACACGACGTAAGGACAAACAACAGCATAGTTGCTTTACGATGTTGTTATGGTTTTTTTCTATGCAGCAAAGTGAGTCAGCTATATGTTCACATTTATCTTCTTTTTGGATTTCCTTCCCATCCAGGTGGCCAAAGAGCATTGAGTAGAGTTCCCCATGTGGTCCAGTAGTTTCTCATTCATTGTCCATTTTGCACGCGGTGTCAATAGAGCGTATATGTCAGTCCCAATCTCCCAATTCATCCCACCACTGCCCCTTTCCCTCTTGGTATCCATGCACTTATGCTCTACATCTGTGTCTCTATTTCTGCTTTGCAAATAAGATCATCTATGAAAATAAAAACAAACAAATGGTACCTAACTAAACTTAAAGGCTTTTGCACAGCAAAGGAAACTATACAGAAGACGAGAAGACAGCCCTCAGAATGAAAGGAAATACTTGCAAATGAAGCAACTGATAAGGAATTAATCTCTGAAATATACAAATATACAAATATACAGCTCAATATCAAAAACTTCAATTTTTTTACTTGATGTATGACATGAATATGGAATCATACATAGCTCATAATTGGAAAGATTGAGGAGCTGTTACAAAGTGAATACACCTGGATAACCACAGCTTAGGTCCAGGAAGTCCTCTGGTATGCTTTCCTAATGACTAACTCCTCTTCCTCTCCAAAGGTAACCACTATCCTGACTCCAAACTTAGATTAGTTTTGTATGGTTTGAACTTTATATAAATGGAATAATTTAATAAGCGTTTTTGTGTCTGTCTTCTTTTGCGGCACCACGTCTTTTACAGTTTTTAAATTATCTCTTCTCTTCACCCCCTTACTCGGTCCTCAAACAGGAATTTATGCTTATCCTTAAAAAGTTACTTTGTACTGGGAACTCGTCTGCTCCAAGAATCAAACATTTATATTTAAAATAAGTCTTTGCCCTGAGAACCAAAAGACTGATGAAGGAAGAAAAACAATTTGGCTCTAAATCACAATTAGTTTGGACATTGATTGTGACTGAGTCACTATTTAATAATAACTAGTGAAAGGAGGTAAAAGAGAAGCAAACACAGCTAAGAACAGCATGCCAGGCGATAGCATTTTGGGTGTAGCAGCATACGATCTGTTATACCTTACTCCTTCCAGTCCTTTAGCCTGAGAGAAAATAATCAGTGACAAAGGGAGGGGTCATCTGGATCAAAATATGATCATTTATGAAAATGCTTTGTATCAACAAACAGAAGCAATCAAACAGAAACAATCAAATTTTATCTTATCTTATAAAATGGAGGGTCAAAATTTTAAAATATAATGTATTTCTGGGAACTTTCTATTCCAAAGAAAATGCCCTGATTATTTTTGTTTCCTGTTTTCTTACGGCAGAGTTTGTTTTCGCAAGTATCTCCTTCACACATAGAGCAGGGTGTTCCACTAATGTAAGGGGACACCTTTGGGTAGTTTCCTCTGTAAAAAAGAGACACAGTGATTAGGTAAGTAGCTATTAATGTCTCTAATTTTGCGTATGCATTTATGTACATTGTTTTGGTCCCTAACCATGAATGTTGACAAGGAAAAATAACAACAACATAGGCCCCAATTTTGTACTTTTTTTCTTTACAAAACAAACTATTAAATTACTAAAGTAACTATTAAAATTATTTTTTACAGGGTGTCCCCAATCCTTGTAGCAGTTATATTCTTGAATATTCTCTAGGACATAAGCTAGATGCAAACCCAATATAATTATGTATGTGACAGCCACAGAGATTCTGCTATAAACACTAATTATCTCTTGATTTTTTTAGTGCAATAAGGAACTTTGAATCGCTCATGAAAACATATGTTTTATAGTTTAATTTAAAAGCACAGTAATATAGTACTTTGATGATGCACCAGAAAGATTTGGCAGTTATTTTGCCTAATTTTCAGTAATATAAGCTGATACATGCTAACAAGGCTCTCTCTTTTTCTTTTCCCATGTCTACGTCTGTGGAAGACTTAGGAAAGTGTTACTTATCTAGAGTACACAAAGAAAAACCTAAGAACATATGTTGTATTCCTTTAAAGAATATGCCCCAATTTATTTATTCATTCAACTGTTGATGGACTTCAGGTTGTTCCAGTTTTGGGGTATTACTAATAAGGTTACTATGCATATTTTGATCTTTCAGATATGTCTTTATATGGACATACATTTTCCTAGATATATACCTAGAATGGAATGAATAGATCATTCAGTAGGTGCATATTTAACTTTTAAAGAAACTGTCAGAATTTTTTTTACAAAGCAGTTGTAGCACTTTATATTTCTACCAGCAGTGTGTGAGAATAGCAAATCCTTAACCATTCCGATTATTGTGTACTGGTATTCACTGTGGTTTAATTTTGTATTTCCCTAATGATGAATGATTTTTGAGCATTTTTTTCATGTGCTTATTTGCCATATTTGTATCTTATTAGTCTTTGGTTCATTTTACTATTGAGCTTTAGGTGTTTCTAGGTATTAAATCTTTTTTAAAATTAATTTATTATTTTAACTGGAGGCTAATTACTTTACAATATTGTAGTGGTTTTGCCATACATTGACACGAATCAGCCACGGGTGTCCACGTGTTCCCCATCCTGAACCCCCCTCCCACCTCCCTCCCCATCCCATCCCTCAGGGTCATCCCAGTGCACCAGCCCTGAGTCCCTGTCTCAGGCATCGAACCCGGACTGGTGATCTGTTTCACATATGGTAATATACATGTTTCAATGCTATTCTCTCAAGTCATCCCACCCTCACTTTCTTTCACAGACTCCAAAAGTCTGTCTTTATATCTGTGTCTCTTTTGCTGTCTTGCATATAGGCTCATCATTACCATCTTTCTAAATTCCATATATATGTGTTCGTATACTGTATTGGTCTTTATCTTCCTGGCTTACTTCACTCTGTATAATGGGCTCCAGTTTCATCCATCTCATTAGAACTGATTCAAATGAATTCATTTTAATGGCTGAGTAATAATCCATGATGTATATGTACCATAGCTTCCTTATCCATTCGTCTGCTGATGGGCATCTAGGTTGCCTCCATGTCCTGGCTATTATAAACAGTGCTGTGATGAACACTGGGGTGCACGTGTCTGTTTCAGTTCTGGTTTCGTCGGTGTGTATGCCCAGCAGTGGGATTGCTGGGTCGTATGGCAGTTCTATTTCCAGTTTTTTAAGGAAGCTCCACACTGCTCTCCATGGTGGCTGTAATAGTTTGCATTCCCACCAACACTGTAAGAGGATTCCCTTTTCTCCACACCCTCTCCAGCATTTACTGTTTGCAGACTTTTTGGTAGCAGCCATTTTGACTGGTGTGAGATGGTTCTAGGTATTACATCTTTTTTATTTTTTTTTTCATTTATTTTTATTAGTTGGAGGCTAATTACTTTACAGCATTGCAGTGCTTTTGTCATACTTAAGAATTCTTCCTACATACTTCATACAAGGTCTTTGTTTCACAAAGACTTTCTTCCAGTCTCTGGCTTGTCTTTTTGTTTTCTTACCAGTTTGTTTGAATAGCGGTCATTTTTAATTTTAATGACATTCATCTTACCAACTTATTCTTTTATGGATCATGCTTTTGATGTGGTAGCTAAAAAAATCTTTGGCTATCTGAAGGTCACAAAGGTTTTATTTATGTTTTCTTCAAAAAGTTTCACAGTTTTTGCCTTACATTTGGATCTATGATCCATTTTTAGTTAATTTTTGTAGATTGCATGTTTTGTAAATCCAAGTTTACTTTTTTTTTATATGTGAGTGACAGAGCACCAGTTATTGAAAAATCTTTCTTACGTTGCATTTCCTTGTACAGTTTTGAAAAGTCAGTTGAACATATGTGGGTCAACCATGTGTCGGGTTTATCTGGAGTCTATGTCCTATTCCACTGATCTATTTGTCTAACTTTACAACAGTATAACAATATCATGATTTTATTAATTTGTGGAAACAATAGTGTTACCTACTTCAGATTTGTTCTAGTTGTTTTAACTATTCTAAGTCCTTTGTATTTTCTTATGAATTTTATGATCTGTTTGTCAGTTTCTACTACAAAAGCCTGTGGGATTTTTATTGGAATTTTATTGAATCCATAGTTCAATTCAGTGAAAAGTTACATGTTTACAATCTTGAGTCTTTTAACCCATTAATTAGGTATAGTGCTCTATTATTGTCTTTGTTATTAATAATTTCTCTCATGACTATTACATAATTTTTAGTATATTAGTTCTTCATGTCTTCTGCCAGATTTATCTCTAAATAATTTATATTTTTTGATGTTCTTATAAGTGGTATTGTTATTATAATTCAATTTATGATTGCTCATTGCCAGTATATGGACATGTAATTGTTTTGCATATTGATCTTGTACCCTGAAAAATTGCTAAACTTACTGATTAGAAGAATCTTCTACTCTTACTGTAGAAGAGTTTTCATAGATTCCACTGAATTTTCTTTATAAACCTAGAGACCAATAAGTCAGTAAAGAAAGACCCATAGGTCATATCTGGCTTGTGGTCTGATTTTGTGCAGTCGGTGAACTAAGAATTGTTTTTTTTTTAATTATTTTTATTTTAAGGGGTTATTTAATTCAAAACAGAACAAAGATGAAAATGTAGCAGAATGTATGTGTCATGCAAAGCCTAATATATTTACTGTCCGGTACTTTACAGAAACAAAATTTAGTACTGGTATTGTGTTACATATAGGCTTTTCATAGATACACTTTATTAGATTTAAGACCTTCCCTTGTATTTTTAATTTTCCAACAACTTTCATCAAGAATGAATGTTTGACTCTTTCTCAGTCTATTGAGATCATATAATCTTTATTTATAGGTTGATTAATATGGTGAATTACACTGATTTTAGAATACTAAAACAGCCCTAAAATACTGGAACAAACTCCCTTTGGAAAAGAGGTATGGTGCTTTTACTGTATTGGATTCAGCTGCTAAATTTTGTTTAGAATCTTTGTACCTATGTTCGTAAGAGATACTGAATAAGCTCAGAATAGGTATTTCTACAGTGAAGAATGCAGATGACCAACAGGAACATGAAAAGATGCTTAACATTGCTAATTATTAGAGAAATGCAAATCAAAAAGCATCACTCCACACCACACAGAATGGCTATCATCAAAAATAGATGCTGGAGAGGGTGTGGAGAGAAGGGAACCTTCCCAGACTGTTGTGGGAGCATAAGTTGGTACAACCACGATAGAGAGCATTACCGAAGTTCCTTAGAAAACTAAAACCAGAGCTCTTGTATGACCCTACAGTCCCACTCCCGGGCATACACCTGGAGAAAACCACAATTCAAAAGGATAAGTGCCCCACAGTGTTTTTTGCAGCACTATTTACAATAGCCAAGACATGGAAGCAATGTAAATGTCCTTCAACAGATGCATGGATAAAGAAGATATAACGTATATCTGCATCTATCTATCTATTAATATCTATCTGTATATCTGAATCACTTTGCTGGGCAACTGAAACTAACACAACATTGTAAATCAGCTACACTTCAATAAAAAATTAAATTACTTCTGCACAGATTAGAAAAAAAGAGATTGCTCTGTAGTTTCCACTTTATTTCTCCTTTGTAATTTGTGTCTCTTGAAGGATTATTGTTTGCTATAAAATCTACAATATTTGATATTAACATAGATCCTGCTACTTTCTTTCTATGAATGTTAGCATAGTAAAACTTTTCCCATTCTTTTACTTTTAATCTACCTGTGTCTTTTAATTGAAATATGCTTCTTGTAGGCAGCATATAATTGCTTCTTGATTTTTATCCCATCATCCAGTTTTTGCCTTCTTATTTGGGTATTTGTATTTACATTTGATGTGATTATTAACATAGATTCAAGGCTATCAGATCTTATTTATTCTATTTGTCTCATCTGTCCTTTGTTCTTTTTTTTTTGTTTTTCTGCTTTCCTTTGGATTAATTGAATATATTTTTAGATTTAATTTTACCTGTTTTTTTGGCTTATTGACTTTACTGTTGGTTTGTTATGTGAGTAGCTACTTTAGGGTTTATAGTATGCATCTTTTACTTATCACAGTCAATTTAAATTATTCCTCTTAACATTGAGTAGAAGAACCTTATGGTAATTTACAATCATTTTCTCCTCTCAGCCTTTATGCCATCATTATCTCAGATTTTAACTTTACCTATGTTATAATCTTCACAATACATTTCAATTATCTTTGATTAAATAATTATCTTTTGAAAGGCACAAATAAGGAGAAAACATCCTATGTATTTACCTCTATAGCTACCATTTCCAGTGCTTCAAACATTTTTATTTCACTTTTATTTTTGAAAAATATTTTCACAGATTATAGTGTCCTTAGTCAACAGATTGCTTTTTTTTTCCTTTCAGTGTTTAAAGATATTCCTGTCTCTCTCTTGCATTGTTTCCAGTGTGAAATCTGGAAGTCCTTATATTTGCTCTTCTGTATGTAAACACATCTTTATTTTCTGATTGCTTTTAAGATTGTCTCTTTATTACTGGCTTTGAAATGTTTCATTATAAGGTGAATTGATATAGTTTACCTCACCTTTGTTGTGATTGGGGCTTGATAGATTTGTTGGTTCTGTGAGTTTGTAATTTTCCTTAAGTATGCAAAATATTGGGGCATATTTCCTCAAATATTTTTCTGTCCGTTCCTAATTCAGGAAATCAATTCCCTCTAAAGTTATGTCACAGCTAACTGATGCTCTTTTTATCACTTTTTTTGCTTTTTTGGATTCTTTTTTTCCCTCTGTGTATCCTTCCTTGGATGGTAAAAATAAGTGTTCTACAATTTCTCTGGTATTTATAAAAACTGTACTCTACCCCAAACTTCTAGGCCATCTGTCATTCTTTTTTTACTTGTTACTGAGAGGGAATGGAAGAAAATACAGAAAGAGATATACACATTTGTACCTCTCCATGGCAACTTTAACAAATATCATGTCCTTTTTGCCAAACGTGTATATTTATTCTTAGCCTATATTTTAATCTTTTCTGCATTTTATTTTTACATTTTTGCTAAAGAGTTGTTGGATTATTAACTACTTAATCTTATTCCTTGTACAGATACGCTGAATTTGAGGTCCAGAATTTTATTTTTGGAGATTCCCACTAGACTTCTGTTTTATTTCATTTAGATATGCAATTTCCAGCAAGGCAGCCAAAAATTTTTGGTACTCTTTTCTTAGAAGAATGTGCCTTTTACTCTCTCATTCTCAGTCATTTACTCATTCAAGTTATATTAGCATCTGCCAACCTATTTTGTGTTCAATATGTAAATATTACTGTGGCAATGTTATTTTACAATATCTATTCTCTTACTTAACAAGTGATCTCCATCATTTCCTCTCTCAAGATTAAATCATTCATGATCAGCATAATTTTTCACACATTCTCTTTTATCTCTTTCTTTTGATTAGCATTATAGAGGGAGACTGTGCTTATCAAAAATATACTTGTCTCTTTTGTATAGCATCATACTTTTGCAAACAATCATTTAACATATATTTCAACTTAAAGTATTTTTAATAGCAAAATAACTTACACAAGTGCATAGTTACATACAAATAGTGCAGTGTCAGGGCTCCCAAGATTTGGACAAATTGCAAGTCCACAACCAACTTTAAATGAAGAGGCCCAAACTACCTATAAAGAAAGGAATTTTAAAATGAAATATGCAAAACTACTCTACACAAACAGTGCATTATGGGAACAGGCATAAAGAAAGTCAATCAACTGTGGGAAAACTTCAACTGGCCTTCTACATGGGCAACTGGGCTCTGGGAAGAGAAGGGTGAAAGATAGACAGACATTTTTAAAAGAATGACTACAGTGGAATATTACTCAGCCATAAAACAGAATGAATTTGAGTCAGCTGTATATTAGCACCTCTTTATGTAATCTAGGAACGTGGTACTGATGAACCTATTAGCAGGGCAGCAATAGAGATGCAGACATCCAGGACAGACTTGTGGACACAGCAGGAAAAGGAGAGGGTGCGGCGAACTGAGACAGCGGCACTGAGACATGAGCACTACCGTATGCAAAGTAGCTCGTGGGAAGCTTCTGCACAGCACAGGGACCGCACCCCGGGGTACTGTGACAGCACAGAGGAGTGGGGTGGGGATTGGGGTGGGAGGGAGGACCAAGAGGAAGGACATATATGCAGACTTCTGGCTGATTCGCATTGTACAATAAAACCAACCCAACATTGTAAAGCAAGTATCCTCCAACTGAAAAATGAATTTAAAAAATGGCTAACATTTTTCCAAATTTAATTTAAACTATAAACCTATAGTGCCAAGAAACTCAGTAAACTGCAGCACAAGAGACATGAAGAAAACTGAAAATTTTTGAAATTGCTTGAGACTTGTAATAAAGGAAAAATTTTAAGGCAGTCTGGGAAATCAAGACACATTACATACAGAGGAATGAATAAAAGAATTACAGTAGATTTCTTGTTGGAAACAGTGCAAGTGAGTTGATAATGGAGTAAGATTGTTAAAAAAAAAAACTTATTGCATAGAATTCTATTCCCATTAAAAATATCTTCCAAATCAAGGCAAATTTTCCAGATACTTAAAAGAAACTCTAAGGAAAGTGCTAAAAATTTGTCTTATGATTAAAATATGCATATGTAAGAATTAATAAAATCTGAGATTGAAGCACACATACCTGTGTATAATGGCCACAAATTTTGGAACATGATTTTGTACTAAAATGATAAAATTTTCCTTCATCATACCACATATCAACAGCAAATTTTGTTACAGATGCGGTTAATGGACCTAACCAGAGATTTTCTCCAGCAAATTGAAAAGTTGGATGGCATTTAAATACTTGTGTTGAACACGAGTTGTGCTTGAATTTACACTTCTTTGCCCATGCTTCAGCAGTCTTTGCTAAAGCTTCATCCCAACTCTGAAAAATAAAAATAATTTATATTGAATTTGTCTGGGTTAAAGTTATTCTAATGACTATAATAAATTAATTTTTATGTAATTGTTGTTACTGAAACAGAGTTTTTAGTATTTATTATGTTCACAATTATTTCTATTTGGTTCTGATTCAGAAGCACTTATTTAGTACACACTGTATGTCAGTTCATTCTTGTACTTCCACCTAGCAGATGGCCTGGTCCAGCAAGATACTAAACAAATACAACTGAATGTGATTTAAAGAAGTTGGAGTTCACAATCTAATAATTGAAGAAGGTTACACAGATATATCATAAGTAAACTATGAGAACATATTTATAATTAAAAAGAGAAAAATTCTCTTAGCACACTAAGCATAGAATTTCCTTAATTTGATCAAGAGTATCTACAAAAGAAAACCAAAATCCCATAATAAACATTAATACATAGTGGTAAAATATCGAAAGCTTTCCCATAAGATTGAGAACGAAACACAATGTCTCATTATTTCCTCTTAAAGTTGTTCTGGAGTTTAGGCAGTATAATTAAAAAGGGAGATATAAATATATAAGACAAGATATAAAGTGTATAATGATTCGACTATCTCATTATTTACAGATGACAAGCCTGGGTACACAGAAAATTCAAATGAGTACAGAAACAAACTTAACAGTAGTATAAATTTATCAAAGTTGTCAGATATCAGGAGGAGGAATAGATACAAAATTGTATTTACATATACACTCCAGAATCCAATAGCTTCAAAAATATCAAATATATATATAATTAAATCTAATAAATCATATAAACAATTATCTCCAAACTGAAAACTACAAAACATTACTAAGAGAAATATTAATAGACAAATAAATGGAGAGATATTAAATATTCATTGGCTGGAAGATTCCATACATACTTAAAAAATACTGGTCTTGAATATATTTCTAATGAAAACCTAAGTAGGTTTTTGAAGGAGGGCAAAATGATTATAAATTATTTATGAATTCAAAGAACCAACACTATTGAGTTCAATTCAGTTCAGTTCAGTCACTCAGTCATGTCTGACTCTTTGCGACCCCATGAACCGCAGCACGCCAGGCTGCCCTGTCTATCACCAAATCCCAGAGTCCACCCAAACCCATGCCCATTGTGTTGGTGATGCCTTACAGCCATCTCATCCTCTGTCGTCCCCTTCTCCTCCTGCCCTCAATCTTTCCCAGCATGACGGTCTTTTCAAATGAGTCAGCTCTCTGCATCAGATGGCCAAAAGATTGGAGTTTAAGCTTCAAAATCAGTCCTTCCAATGAAACCCAGGACTGATCTCCTTTAGGATGGACTGGTTGGATCTCCTTGCAGTTCAAGGGACTCTCAAGAGTCTTCTCCAACACCATAGTTCAAAAGCATCAATTCTTCTGTGCTCAGCTTTCTTTATAGTCCAACTCTCACATCCATACATGACCACTAGAAAAACCATAGCCTTGACTAGACGAGCTTTGTTGGCAACGTAATGTCTCTGCCATTTAACATGCTCTCTAGGTTCGTCATAACTTTCCTTCCAAAGAGCAAATGTCTTTTAATTTCATTGCTGCAATCACCATCTGCAGTGATTTTGGAGCCCAGAAAAATAAATTCAGCCACTGTTTCCATTGTTTCCCCATCTATTTTCCATGAGGTGATGGGACTAGATGCCATGATCGTAGTTTTCTGAATGTTAAGCTTTAAGCCAACTTTTTTACTCTCTTCTTTCACTTTGATCAAGAGGCTCTTTAGTTCCTCTTCACTTTCTGTCAAGGGTTTTGTACTGCATATCTGAGGTTATTGATATTTCTCCCGGCAATTTTGATTCCAGCTTGTGCTTCTTCCAGCCCAGTGTTTCTCATGATGTACTCTGCATATAAGTTAAATAAGCAAGGTGACAATATACAGCCTTGACATACTCCTTTTCCTATTTGGAACCAGTATGTTGTTCCATGTCCAGTTCTAACTGTTACTTCCTGACCTGCATACAGGTTTCTCAAGAGGAGGTCTGGTGGTATGGTATTCCCACCTCTTGAAGAATTTTCCACAGTTCATTGTGATCCACACAGTCAAAGGCTTTGGCATAGTCAATAAAGCAGAAATAGATGTTTTTCTGGAACTCTTATGCTTTTTCAATGATCCAGTGGATGTTGACAATTTGATGTCTGGTTCCGCTGCCCTTTCTAAATCCAGCTTGAACATGTGGAAATTTATGGTTCACATACTGTTGAAGTATGGCTTGGAGAATTTTGAGCATTACTCTACTAGCATGTGAGATGAATGCAACTGTGTAGTAGTATGAGCATTCTTTGGCATTGCCTTTTTTAGGGAACAGAATGAAAACTCACCTTTTGAAGATGGTGGAGGGATACGATAGGGAGACCACTTTCTCCCCCACTAATTCATTGAAAGATCATTTGAACGCTGAGCTAATTCCACAAAACAACCTCTTAACACTGGTGGAGGACACCAGACACCTAGAAAGGCAGCCCATTGTCTTTGAAAGGCAGTAGGACAAAATATAAAAGATAAAAATAGAGACAAATGAGTTAGGGACGGAGACCCTTCCCCTTCCCCTTTTCGGGAAGGGTAGTGAAGGAGAAGAAGTTTCCAAACACCAGGAACCCTCTTACCAGCGGGTCTGCAGGGAGTTTTGGATGGCAACATAATCGGGAGGAAAAAAAAAAACACCTCACAGATTAGGTGCCTAACCGAACTTCCAGTGGAGAAGTAGCCCAGACGCTCATGTCCACCACCAGCAAGCAGGGGCTGAACTGGGAGGCGCGGGCTGCATTGCTTAGGGTAAGGACCAGGCCTGAACGCCCTGAGGAACATGTGAGGGTGCTAACACGAGATAGTAACCCAAACTCTGGGATAGCCAGAGAGAGAGGGGGAAAAAAAAGAGAAAGAGAGCGAGAGAGAGAACTTTCCCGCAAAAAGCTCTAACCTAAGGCACTGCTGCCCGCTCACAGAACAAAGGACTGAGCGATACCAGAGGAGAGCTAGCTGGCTGTGGTCCAGCCCATCCCCAGCCGGAG